CTTTTATATATATAGATTTTTGGATTGTGGTTGACCGCAGATTACTGAAACGGCAGATAAGGGGGACTACTTTAGTAAGTAATCCTGCTCTTTATCCAGGGGGTGATGTTACCTCATTTCTTAAAGTTATCCTGAGACATAGCCTGGGTAAAGAGCAAGCCTTGCAGACTTGATATACCCAGCATAACGTAGGAATCACAAGAGGCCCACGGAAAGCTGTCTCTCTTAACTTCCCCCTCTCTCTCTCTAACCTTTCTCTCTCTCTCTGGTCCTAAAACCCTCCACACATGAGAAACATTACTTTTATGTAATATGAAATGTTTTATTAAACACATAAAACCAACCATGGGAGTGTTCTCTTGTTACTACTGTTCACTCATCAGGGTGGGCCCCAGGTTTATTACACTCTCTCTCCTGTCTCTCTTGTTCTTTTAAAAAAACAGTATTTTTGAAACTAAAGAGCAGACTTTATTTTACATCTATCTATCTATCTATCTATCTATCTATCTATCTATCTACCTACCTACCTACCTATCTATCTTTCTTTCTACCTCCTACCTACCTATCCATCCGTCCATCTATCCATCCAACCTTAGTTCTTGGCACAATATCATTATCAGTCCCAGTAAGGACTCTTCTGCTTTATTTCTATATTTCCATTCCCACTGCCATTTGTTTTCCCCCATAAATAACGACTCTAACAATTTTGATATATATATTTGAGTACATACATATCCTTGTAAAATATTGCAGGTTGTTTTGTACATGTATGTATTCATTTTTAGCTTTTTAAGTTTGAAATGATTTCAAACTTATAGAAATATTGATATAATAAAAAGCCTTTCCATGTGTCCGTCACTCAGATTCAGCTGTTAATATTTTGCAATATTTGCTATCTCTTTCTGTATATGTACATGAAATTTTTCTTAGGTATTTGAGAGTAAGTTGTAGACATTTCCCTTATTCCCAAATATTTCAGCATCTGTTTCCTAAGGTGAAAAGATAATCTCTTATATAACCATAGTAGAGTTGTCAAATTAGAAAATTTAACATTGATATACTTCTATCATTAATATACAATCATATTCAAGTTTTATCAGTTGTCCCAGAAATGTTCTTTATAACCTCCTTTCCTTCTCTTCCAATCCAGTTTTCATTGCATTTAGTTATGTCTCTTTAGTCTTTAATTTGGAACAATTCCATAACCTTTCTTTGTTATTTGAGAGTGTGTATGTAATTTTTGTTTACATGTTTGATATAGTGTTATAGACATTGTTCCTTTTCTTAATTTTTCACTGTTTTTAAGATCCACCCATACTTATGTGTAGACATCTATCTTGTTTGCTGACTCCAAGTTCTGTTTAGTATTCCATAATATGCATCTGCCAAAGTTTCCTTATCCATTCCCTAGTGACAGACACCTAGATTGTCTTTATCTCCTTGCTATCATAAATAATCCTGTCATGAACATCTTTATGCATATTCTCTTTGGGAATATTTCTGGGATATATATCCAAGAATAGGATTTCTGGGTCATAATGTATCTGCCTATTTAATCTGACTAAGCACTGCTGACTTGCTCTCTGGAACAGCTGCCCTGACCACATTACAAATGCTGTGAACTAAGATCCCAGTTTCTCTACATTACTGCCAACACTTAGTCCTAGGTAACATTCCAGTGTTTGTCAGTGTGATGGTTTTAAAGTGGCCTCTTATTTATTCTTTCTGATCACTAATGAGTTTCACTTTTTTGCTTTCCAAACTCTTCATCAATAGTTTCCTCAGGAGAGAAAAAAAATCTTGTCTCTCTTATACTTCTGAATTTTTTAAAACTATGTACCCTATTGTATATTTTTCAGCTGATGTCTAAAAATTTTTATTTTTTTTCTAAGTAACTACAAAAGATAGAATTTCTGGAATACTGTATATATTAGCATGTGAAAATAAAATTGTTATATATGTCTTTTAAAAATATCCAATTGAATCTGAATGCCATAGCAATTTGGAAACTATCATATGCCTTTAAAAAATACACAAACCCATTCTTATTTTATAGTTAAAATCTTAATCATTTTTTCCCTTTAACTCAATATGTTTGCTTCTTCTCTCCCTCCCAAACTATTACCCTAATGGTATATTTTATATTTTCAAAATATTTAAACATATTTCTTATGCTTAAAAGTATGTTTAATTATATAAAATATCTCCATATAAAAATATATCTATATAGCAATTACATTAAAAAATTTCCTATAATCATAAAAAATTTTTTTCCTGGATTATTTTTTCATTAAATAGCAATCATTATTAATGATTGATCAGAGAGGCATATCCATATTACAGATTTAAAAAGTAATAAAATATAAAAGCAAATAAAATATAAAAGCAAAGTCTTTATAAGAAGCTGTATCTTTAATTAGATATATATTTAAATTATTGCATTTATCTTTGTATTCCTATAAAATAAGGAAGGATTTCAGCATCAGTTCAATTTCTTCATTTTGTTTCTGTAGATGATGAATGCTTTGTTAATATAAGTAAGTAGATGAGATGAAAGGAGTTTATTATAGAAATATCAATCAATTCATTGAACTACTTTTGAATTATTTGTCAAAACATAACCATGGTGATTTATCATGAAAATAATTTTTACAATCTATCAGCTGTTAATTTGATTATATCCTCCTATAAATTTGATGAAAGCAAGAAACTGCCTGATATGTTATTCAATCATTAACACCATTCTCTTTCTCAAAGCTGCCACCAAATGTTTTCCATTTCTCTTTTCTTGATGCCCATCCATATTTTTATCCTCCAAGGCTATGAACTATTATAAAATTGTGGATGGGTGAAAGATAAGTTTTTCTTTTGTAAGTGGGAGAAATTTAATTTCAAAAGAAGGAACTTGATTTTTTAAAAGAATAGAGTACATAAGGAAGTTGAAGATCTCGAAAATGACTTTCTTAAAACCATCTGTGCCTGCCTACACCTATCTTAGCATGACTGTGGGATATTTAAGAGACTGCTGCTAAAAGAAAACCATATTTTAAAGCTATTATCATTTGACAAGAATTATAGTAGTACTCACACAGTAGCACCAACCTTTCAGAGAAATATAGAATTTTAAGTTTATTGGATTAAGAATTTGAACAAAGGAGCCTTTTATGTAAAGTTGTAGCTGATTGTTTTGACAGAATATATGTCTAATTCAACTAATTGTAAATTCCACCATCATGTCCTTAGAAGAGCATTCAATTAGGTTGACTCCAATATGTTGATGTCAAGTGGGAAAATGAAATATTTGTGTTCTTGGATAGTTATTTGGTATTTTAACATGAGTTTCTGGACATTTTCATACACTTCTCTTCCTTTGCTTATGTTAGTTCCTCTGCCTGAAATACTTGTTACTTCTTTCTATCCCCCATGTATGAACATATTATATATCCTCATTATAGCTCTTTTATATTGTATTTATAAAGGCCAATTCACTCTATACATGTCTCAAATCTAATCCCATCTCTCCATCCAGTGCCCTAATTCATACCCACATCATTTTCCAATTGATAATGATCTTCCTTCTGCTCCCCCTGGCTCCATTCTCTTCCCACTCCAATGTCTCCAGCACAAAATTATTATAATGACCTGTCTAAAATACAGATCAAGTTCTTATTCTTCTACTCAGAAATCATCAGCTGCTCTTACAAATCTTCAATGTCTCTATACTGCCAAATGCATTAATATTTACTTTCATTTATTGTCTTCTCAATTACCTGTCCAATTTTTTTCTCTAGCAACCACCCTCATCTATTTTATACTCTTGTCACACAAATCATTTATTTCCTTGAACACACATCATTTATTAGAATGTCACAATGGAGACATATTTTTTTTTAGTAATATTCATCCTGAACTTTTGGCTACTTGTGATAAAAGGCTAAAATTTACATGTAGTGGGTATATATCCTTTACAGAAAAATTTTGGTGTATTATTAAAAATATTTTTAAATCACATTGATGGTACTAAGCATGGCCACAGGACACCGAAAACAAACAAAAGCTTTGAAAAATAAAGGGAGGTGTTAATAAAGAAAAACTTTATCTTCATAATCATTCAATATGTCAATATGTCAAGACTTTTCAAAATGTGTTTTGAAAACTCATAAAAACAAATTGCCTATGTATTTAATTCTCTTTTATTTATATTAGTAATTTGTGTTTGGCCTATAACCCAGGACTCGATGTATCAAAACCATCTTTTTATAATTCCTTTCTGATTCATAGTGAAGTAGTATGAACTCTAGCATCTTAAAAAGCAGGTTCTGCTAAAAATTCCAACACTTACTGTGTGATCATTAATAGGTCTTGTATTTTTACTAAATTTGTTTTTCTCATCTATAAAGTGAGAATTAATACATAATCTGTATCTGTTCAAGAAGAGATAACATTTGAGATTATATGATGAATTTAAAGAGATTTGGAGATATATTGTATCATTGATTTATTCCTTAGTCTCTTTAACTTTAAGCCTATATTTCCTTAGAGCAGCGGTTCTCAACCTGTGGGTCGAGACCCCTTTGGGGGTCGAATGACCCTTTCACAGGGGTCACCTAAGACCATTGGAAAACACATATATAATTACATATTGTTTTTGTGATTAATCACTATGCTTTAATTATGTTCAATTTGTAACAATGAAAATACATCCTGCATATCAGATATTTACATTACGATTCATAACAGTAGCAAAATTACAGTTATGAAGTAGCAATGAAAATAATTTTATGGTTGGGGGTCACCACAACATGAGGAACTGTATTAAAGGGTCACAGCATTAGGAAGGTTGAGAACCACTGCCTTAGAGGGTCTAGTCTACTCTTATGGAAGGCATGTGTTAATAAAACTAATACATGATCAAATAAGAAAATAAAGGATGTATTGGGGTTTGTTTTATTTTGTCTTACTTCTTTTATGTTTCTTATGTTTCTTCCTTGTTAAAACAGTTTTGGTATGAACCATGATGGACTTGGAAATCCTTGTGGGACGAAAGGTCATGAAACAGCAAAACTTATGGCAGCTCACATTACTGCAAATACCAATCCTTTTTCCTGGTCTTCCTGCAGTCGAGACTATATCACCAGCTTTCTAGAGTAAGTAATCTCTGGAGAGTGATGATGAATTGCTCTAGAAGTAAACCATTGCTAGAAGTCTAATATGTAGTGCTTCAAACTTTGCATAATGAGTAACTTTTATAGGGCCCAGCGATATTTCAGGCGGTTCCGAAAGTACTTTAATATATCATTGTGGCAAATATTTTCCTTCATACTCAAACAGAACTTACAGAATAGATTAGAGGAACTGAAACAAGGATTTAAGTGGAGTTGATGATATCAGTGTTAGAAATGTTCACTAAATGGGAAGCAATGTCAGAAAAAATGTAGATTTACACAATTTAATAGAGCATAGGTCAAACTTTAATTCAGTGATTATACATTTCATTTTATTGGTGAAAGAAAACTGAGTTCTATAAGAATGCCTTAGTATCTAATAGTAATAAACAACAACAACAAAAAATCAAACACCCACGAAATAAAAATGAAAAATTGAAAACTTGTCTTTGAAAATTTATTTTTAAATATATTCTTTTGGGTTTCAGAGAGGAAGAGATAGAAACATCAATGATGAGAGAGAATCATTGATCAGCTGTCTCCTGCATGACCCCTACTGGGATCAAAACGTGATCTCCTGGTTCATAGGTCGATGCTCAACCACTGAGCAACACTGGCCAGGCTTGAAAATTTATTAAGAAACACATCTTTCCTACAGTTTAGGACCTTCTTTCTTGGTCTTTTAATATGTATTTCAAGAGTTTTGTTACTTAACTGTGAAGAATATAAATTAGCTAATAGGAAGGCAGGTGTTCTTCACATTTCACCTGCACATCGGGGCTTCAGTATTGAACTTTGTAAACTAATAGTCTTAGGTCTTATTTTCTAACTTTGTGACCTTGGGCGTGTTACTTCAGCTTTATAATCTTCAGATCCTCATTTCTTAAGTGAGTTTAGTTAATAATACATACAACATCAGGTTATTATGTATATAATCATGTATAATGCTAAAATGTATTAAAAACACTTAAGAGACATTCATCAAGTGGTAAATATTATTTTAAATGATATCAAGGTTTTAAGCTCCATGGCTCTGTCATTACCTTCAATAATTTTGTGCAATTTTTTTTCCCTCGGGGAGAAGAGATTAAATACTCTGTGAAAAGGTGAGTCATACATAAAGCACAGGTGGTTATTTAAACAGGATTTAAAAATTCTTTTTAAAAATTGTCCTTTCAGATTTCACATTAACATGATGATAGTGTAACATTTTAAAAAATTCAGATAGGTTATGTAGGATAACCTACTTGTAAGTTCGTTTAAGTTTTGGTTCATATCTGGGAATGGTCTGATTATATTCTGAAAACTTATAAATACTTATTTTTTAAAAAGCCTCAACAAGAGATTTAAAAATACCTAATACAGTGCTTTACTCAATCAAAGATTAAAGGATAAATGCTTAAAATGGGCTCTTTTGAATTAACTAATATAATAATGAAGTTGAAGGAATTCACTTAGAAGGTAGTGCTGCATAACCTAACAGTTTTTAATCTTAATAATAGACCATTATAACACTGTGCTTGCCTGGTGCCAAAACTGGGTAAAGGGCTATAAAGATAGACCACAGAGAATTTGTTTGACATCTTTTGGTAGTTTTTGTTTTTTTTAAACACAAAGCACTTGCAATATCATTTTCCAAGATTTTTTTTAAATGAGATCATATTACCTAAATTTAAACATTGTTGAAAATCTGCTCTTCCCAGAAATCAAGCCAGATCTGCCATTTCTCTCTTGACTTGGCTCATGTTTTTATAATGGAATCTTAGTAACTGTCACCAGAAAGACAAACTGTATAACATGCTCAGTATTCCTGTGCATTTTCAAAGGCTTCCCTCCTCTTGTTCTTTTCAAGTACCATTTTTTTTTTTTGCTCCTCTTTCCTGTTTCTATTGCACAGCCCTTTGCTAGACCATCTCTGTATGCATACTAAATACAAGGACCAGGTTTCATTTCTTGCCAGCACCTACCCAGTTGAAATAGTATTAAGGCTATTAAAATACTCCAAAAGGAAATCCCAAAATTGCTGATAAAATACAGTTAAGAAATCACCACTGGTTTGGTGAGAAATGTAAAATTCTTATTAATTGCAAGAAAGTGTCCCATTGAATTAATTAAAATAATTAATACAAAGAGCATTATTTAAGCCTTATTGCCTCTTTGCATTTCGTATGTGTAAGCATGATTAGTATTGTCAGGGTTCTAATGGGCTTATTTATCCTGTATTTTATAAAAATATTTCTGTTGTGCATTCTCCTGGGGATAGATACTCACAAAATTTAAGCCATTTGTGAGAGACAGATGTGAAAGACAATGGGTAGCAATTTGGGGAAAGTTGGCTTCCCGCCCCCTCCCCCCCTCGCCTTTAATAATAAACTAAACAACCTTGATCATAATCTGACTAAGCAGTAAAGATTTTTAAAATACAAAGCCCTTTAAAAAGGTCAGTTCACTGGAGCACAAAGACATAATAGTAACTTTCTTGAATTTCTTTGTTCCTTTTTATTAATGCAATGGACTTAATTGCTTTAGCAGCTATGTGTGATATTTTTTAAAATCCAGTGATATTTTGATCAGGGATTGAGGTTACATTTATGTTTTATAGTTGGCTCAAAAAGACTCATAACATTTTATTTCAGTTTCTCCTCTCAAGAAAAAGAAATCTGTAAAGATGAATTGTTTAGGAACTGTAGCCCAGCCAACAAAATGCATACCTTTCTCTACTTAGTAACTGTATAGGCCAAAGATGGTGGATTTTAACAATGAGCTTTCTATGATTTATAGATTCACTATTCACTATGTTCAACTGAAAACCATTCCATGGCCTTTAAATGCCAATATAGTAAAAAGTCTCTCGTGTCAAACACTACGTGCTACTGATCAATCAGGAGATGGTGTTTACCAACTCCCAATATTTTTTTTCAGATTTCTTAAACTCGGTGATTCAATAAGTGGTTCATGAATCGCCCAGAAGCCGTCCTGATTAAGTAATAAAGAACCTATTTCCGTTAGAATGGACGTGTTATGCCAGCTTCTGATGTTTTCGCCGACGGCTTTGCAGGTAGTGTCCTTCCTATCTGCCTGCGGGACTTATTTATTTATTGACTTAGAAAGTGGAGAAAGATGAACCTGGTATCATGGCTCACTCTCACTGATGACACTGGGCTAATTTACCAGGCAGTGGAAGGCAGCCAGAAGTCATTTAGTTCAGGTTTTTGTTTTTTGTTTTTTCTTTTTCTTTTTTTCCCCCCATATATTTTCCACCACTTAGTGGTAGTACAGAGTAATTTCATATAGTTTTTTAAAATTCTGAGGCCTCTGTGAATCAACTTGCTCTATTTAAATTAAAGTCTGTTATATTGTTTGAACTGTCAAAGATCCATAGCAAAATCTCCTACCGTTTCCAGATTAAATAGAGATTATCCATTTTCACAGAAAGGATGGAAGCTGAAAAGGAAAGGCAACATTACGGTTGAAGGTGAGCTAGGAAGAAAGGTGAGTGTAGAGCTACAAGAGAAGTGACATAAGATGAACAGGATGACTAAGGCACTCATATTTCTTCTATAGTATTTACTTTGAAGGTCAATGTCAATGATCTATTATACGAAAAACAGTTTTATAGATGGGACCTCTTTTTTTACATGGAACCCATGGAACAGCTTAGAAAAACAGGTTTCTCCTTCCTTCCATGTTTCTGACACGTTTGGGGGACTTCACTCAAATCCATAAATATCATCGATAAGTTCTAATTACGTATGGAGAAAAAGAGAGCATAACTTAATAAACCGTTATTGATACTGTGCTTGCATATTGGAGGCTTCAAGTTTAGTTTTGTTCAAGCACCCCTCTCATCCAGAGGACTAGAGAGAAAGGTTTGACTTAAAGTAACTCATTTTAGGATGGAATGTATGGTTAGTTTTGTGAAGACTGGTAGCGCAGTTTATGAGAACACAGTAGGTAAGAAACTTCACTTGTAGATGATACCAACTTAATTCATTTTTGCTTAATTTAGATATATGAGCACAATTCTGTGGAAAATAATACCAGATGGCATTATTATGTTAACTTTTTGTTGTTGTTGTTCAGAGACTGTTAAGATATGTATAGAGTTATATAGAAAGATTTATTTTTTAGATTGACCCATTGTACTATAGACTGAAGGTCTATACTTTATCGTATAATTGTTGAAGTGAAAAATAAATCTACAATTACAATTAGGGGTATGTCCTTATGTGTTCTGGAAACAAAGCCAAGAGTGCATATTTTATGTAAGGGTCTGTAAATTTTAGTTGAAGACTCAACTCTGGCTCATGTTCCTATTTTCAAGGCTAACTTTTGAGCTATGTAAATAAGATTTCTCTAAATTAGAAGTAGGATACATAAAATATGACTTTGCTATCATGCTGCGAGGATTTTTGGAAATGTAAATATTCTTTGATTTACTAAGAATTTCGTAGTCAAGGAAAAAGCATATTCTCAAACTGATACAATTTTTTTTGGCCTTGTCTTAGAAGCATAAACAAAAGCAGAATCTGTGAATTCAATAGTTATCTATATTGCTGTATATTTTAACTAGGATCGGGCTTTTAGTTATGAAATATATGCTGCTAGGGAAATAATCACAATTCTACTTTTTATGTTTATTCTTTTGCTCTGGACACATGTATATTATACTTAACAATAGAAAGTTGCATTAGCATCTCAGATGGAAACTACTAACAGTATCCTTCATTTTTTTAATGATGAGTGAGGTTTATGTTTTCTGAGTGGAAAAATTCTCATATGTCACTAAAACACAAACTATGTTTAAAAGTGCTATTTGATGAGAAAATATTATATGTAATATTACCACTGTTATTATTTTGATAGTAGTAGCATAAATAATACTAGGTTCACCATCATAAGACTTGTATGGTTGAATTGATGAGCTAGAACCCTGGATTAAATAAAAATTACTCATAACTTCCATTTTGTTAAAAGGAAATAATTATAAAATATTTAAAAAATCTCATCTGTAATATTTTTAAGAAAGAGAATATATTTGTCCCAGGAGCCCTATACAAAAATATTCATATCAGCGTAATTTGCAATTTCCAGAAATTAGAAATAATTCAAATGCTCATTTGATATTTGTGGCATAGTCTTAAATGGAATGTCAAAGAACAATATGAATGGACAGGCTATAGTTATACACATCAATATAGATATATCCCACTTTCCTAGTACTGAGCGAGTGAAAGAATAAAGTCACAAAGGAAAACCTACAATACGACTCCTATTGTACAGACTCCAAAATCAGACAGATGAATATTGGGAGGTAAAACTACTAATAAAATGAAGGAAATTATTATTAAACAATCAGAATATTAGTTACTTCCTGAGGGACAATAGGGGTGTAATTGGGATATACTACTTGGTAATTTAAAAATAAAGGAAGAAAGAAAAGCACTTCCAGGGTTAATATAAATCTCTACTTGAAATTAACAGGAAAGTAGCAGACAAACATTAGTAACCGTATGCAAAAGTATTTTTGTCACTTAACCCTCAGTTAAGAATTAAAATATGAAAATGACCCCATCCCCCAAATACTTTAAGCAAGATTTTATTGTACAATATATACCAGATATGGTTACTAGGAGGAAACCATGCAGTATATAGAAACACTTTAAATCAGCCTTGCCCCATACTTGCTTTCCCGGAGCCAATAAAAATAGGTATGACACTTGACTTACAAACATTAGTGATTTGTACAAACATCACCAAATCCATCTCAAAAGGCCTTGTTGATGCCATGTTCCTAAATATGCATGTTCATTCTTAAGGATCTATATGATTTTTTGCTTATATTTCATTTTATACTAGAGGCCCAGTGCACGAAATTTGTGCACGGGGGGGGGGGGGGGGCCCAAAAGCCTGGCCTGCATGCTCTCCAATCTGGGACCCCTCGGGGACCATCCGACTTGCATCCCGGGACCACTGGCTTTTAATCACTTGCCTGCCTGCCTACCTGATCACCCCTAACTGCCTCTGCTTGCCAGCTTATCACCCCCTAAATGGGCCCCTGTGTCGCCTGCACCCCCGTACGGGGGG